TTGACTCACATGCTTGTGTGAACAACAAAGTAGTATCGATTTCCCAAAGATGAAGCTTCTCATTCATCATACGATGCAAGTCGCATGATTCCAAGTTTATGTTCAATTGAATCTTGGGCGACGAGAATCATTCCCTGATTGGTAAGTTTCTGACACTACCAAAAAATATCATAATTAAGAATCACATCCATTTCAGTATTGCTAAAAATAGAAACATACAAACATCAGTTTTGACAAATGCCATTGCAAGGATATAAATAAAACAAAACCAATATTTATTTTATTTATAAAATGCGGAAAAAATTATCCTTACAATCGCAATTACAAATGAAAACTATGTAAATATTCCTAAGCAATCTATCCTAACTCTTCTAAGTAGCAACTCAAAAATCCGATATTCGAACCATGCGATCGAAATCCATTTCTTCGTGATCAGACTTAGCTCACTCTTCCTTTTAAGCTTCCTTTATTTTCTTCGATCCTACAAAACATCAAAATGTAATCTTATCACATCATGCATTAAGAATATATAAATAGGAACTTATTAGAGTTAGATAGTGGATTTACCTGAAGCAGAGTCATATATCTTGACTCTCCCATCCTTGCAATCTTTTAGGTACATATGGCAGCTTCGCATCCAATGCCCATTCTCTTGGCAGTATAAACAAAAAACCTATTTTGGTACAACACATGGGATAAATTCAGAGTTAGCATTTCTCTTCACCATTTGGTCAAACGGTTTGACCATGGCCAATCCTTTTCCATTGGGAAGAGAAGACTTTTTTGGACTTCTAATGTTGCCATTGTCACTGTCCATAAAAGTTTGGGAGGTTGATCTTCCCAACAATTTTTCTTGACCAATACGCCAAATCATTGATGATTCAGCAGCAATAAGCAAATAAGTAAGATCAATGAGGGTCACATCATGGTCCATCATATAATACTCTCTAATGAACTCACTATATGATTCGGGAAGTGATTGAAGAATCAAGTCAACAACCAACTTCCGTAAGACAATGACACCCAACATTCCCAACATGTCAATGTGTGACTTCATATCCAAGACGTGTGCACACACAGACTTTCCATTTTCGTATTTACTTGCCAATATGGCTTGAGTGACCTTGAAATTTTCAAGTCTTCGAACATGTGGGTCAGGGAGAACTATTAGAGGAGATGGAGGAAGTGAAGCATGATTTCCATTTCCACGATTCAATTGTGGAGCATCACCTTCAAGTGGAAAGCTTTTTCCAAAGGATTCAGAAAGACCATAGTCATTTGACATCTATAAAATGGGAGAGAAATCAAGTTAGTTGATAAGAATCCTTCATATAACACCCAAATGAAATATCAATGCTAGGATCCAACACAATATTCTGCAACTAGGAAGAGGGATGATGTAATCCAATTGCAAAATATTTGAAGGTAGGTAAATGACGATTTACCAATTTCCACAATGAAAAATGAAAAGATAATTAGGTTTTAAATGTTTTTGAAACTCCTAGATCTTTTGAGATTCATTGAACTTTTCAATGACATGTTTAATCTTAATTATGCCCTTCATGTTTGTGACTGGGATGTCGAGGATCACAAGCAAGGTGTGGATAACCATGCAAATTAGTTTGGTACTCTCGAAGACGCATATCACCTAATCAATGTGTAGGTTAACCGCACACGATCCATTGATCTATGATAATATACGAGCTACCCATTGTCATCCTTCATTGGTCCCATATTAGTGTGTCAGTTAACCACACACGCTTCACTAACGACCAACTAGGTGCAATGTGTAATTTCATGGATCAACACCAATTCCACATTTTTCCTAAAGTAACTAAGATTTGGGAATATTTTAAAAGCATTTAGTTACTTTGTATTTTATTATACTTATAATGGAAGGTTGTGTCCTATCCTACCATTCGGCTAACAACCATCCACTAGTCAAGAGTGCGGTGGGTAAGAGTGATACCCAATGACGGTCATTTTACAGAACGCTTCCTTAAACACCCCTTAGAGACCAACTTCATGAATGAGGCCTACTAACGGTAAGAATGACCTTTTACTCATACATATATAATATTAGACTTTTAATTTTATATAGTATAATGGTGTATTTTACACTTTTAAAATACTAGATGGTTTAATTTACTAAATTATACCTTTAATTTTGTTAAATGTAAACCACTGCATTATAGATTTATTAACTATCTTTTAATTACACACTTAATTAATTTAATAAAACCATAAGGGTGTAATTTGAACTTTTCAAAATACTAGGGTTTTAGAATTTAATATTTCAAAATTAAAACATTTTAATTTGGGCGCCACGCTTCACAAATCCGCCTTGGACGTTTTCGTAACGGCTACACCACGCCTCGCACCATGGCACGTCTTGAGGTGCGCCATGGCGCACATTTTAGAACCATGCATGTCTTTCCCTTGATACTCTCCATCCTATATGGTCTGAATCTCCAGCTCAATCTCCTATCCGCCTGATATTGGTCTATAACCCAACCAATGTATGATATGATGGGTTCACCACGAACTCCCGAATATGTCTCATCAAAATGCTCAAGTACCGTCTCACACGTGCCTGCTCCGCAAACACATGCTCATGGTAGGATATTGCCCTCTCATGAAACATCCTCGTAATCTCTGTCACTGTTTCTGTCTTCTGCTTGTGAGACGAAAATTTTTGGGCTAATCGTTCCTTCTCCACCTGGGGAATGTACTCATCTCAGAATATATGGGCAAACCTCTCCCAAGTCACTGCAACATGGTCTGCAGGAGTAAAATAAGTCGTCACAAACTTCCACCAGTCATTCACTCCCAAGAGAAGCTGGTTCAGCGCAAATCAAACCCTCAGGTGATCCGGGCATGAACAAGTATAGAAACATACATTGATGTTAGAAATCCATCTCATAGTAGAAATTGGGTCCTGGGTCCCATCAAACTTTGGTGGCTTCATGTTGTTGAACTCTCGAAACAACAACGAATCACCCCCTGTGGCCTCGCAGCTGCAAGGGTTGTAGCAGTAGTAGCCTCTGTGATAGCAGCATATCGCTCGTCAAAAGTCTCAATCAACGTGGTCTTAATAGACCCGAACATCTCTGGAATGGCCTCCCTAATAGTTGCGACCACCTCCTCATCAATGATCTTGCGAATCTCCTCGTCACTAGTACTACCCCCTGGGGTTGTTGCGGGTAATCACCATAATCTCTCTGAAACACAAACACATAAATCATCAGGGACTGGCTAAAGAGCACACACAATTACCCACCCCTACATGCTCCTTAGTATCCTAAGGTTCTTACTTGGGTCGCATACATATTCGATGCTTTCAGTAGTACGGGCCCAATACTACCTTCCACACCAACCCATAGTCGCCCAAAGTCCTCCTCTTAGGATCCTAATTCACAAGTACTCTATCCCTTATGGATATCAAACTACTATCTTAATAGATTTCTTAAATGAACATCTAGGTATATCTCCTAGATTACTCTTTGACTCAAAACTATCTCTCAAAGATTCCTGCCATGTACCCTACTCAACACGCACACATAGCAAATAGCAGATAATGTCAATCAATAGCATCCTCCTAGGCTAAGGCATCATGAATCAGGCAACTCTAGCTCTAAATTCCTGAAATACCTAGCCTACCATATAGCATGAAACTCTAATATCTCATAAGTATCTCATCTCATAATATAAACAAGTAAGGGTATTTTGGGAAAATCACCGTTTCGGGCTCTGGTTGATTGTACACACTGCTTCATTTTGTTTCCTCTTAAAATATTTTGCTCGTTTAGAAAATCATTTATTTTAGAAAAATTCCTTAAATCCTTCGTTTGAGTTCAGACATACCAGAGGATACATCCGAATCCCTCAAACCAAAACTCTGATACCAACTTGTAACACTTTAAATTTTCAAATAGAATTTTCATTTTTGAATCCATACAAAAACACATTTTAACATTTCTAAAAACCAATTTGTAAATTGTTTCAAACACAAGACAATAAATTAATTAACAATATCCCATAATTCTCAAAACACAAATAAACTAGCTGGTGTGTACAATAATGCCGACGCCTTTCGACGATCCTGAGATTTACCTGAAACACATTTCACACAACACTGTAAGCACAAGGCTTAGTGAGTTCCCCAAAATACCACACACAAACAATTAGCCTCTCATGGCTATATCTTGATAAGGACCCTCCGGTCATGTGTCTCAGTGAAGACCCTCTGGTCTCACAACTAGTGGTTGGACTCTCCATTCCTGTATCTTAGTGAAGACCCTCTAGTCTCACAACTCGGTTTGGACCCTCTGGTCCTAACTCAATAAGGCACATGATAATATACAACATAAATCACAAAGACAAAAAGCATAATATCACATAACTCAATATAAGCACATAAGACCCTCCCGTCAATAACTCAGATAAGACCCTCCGGTTGTATAGTAATTACCACTTAGGTAAGTATAGTGAGAAGACTCACCTCGTAAGTAAAACAAGTATGTCTCGTACTCAACTGTCGGCCTAGACTCTGCCTACATAAATCATATTCACATGTAATTAACAATTTATAATAACAACTCCAACATGTTAAGCTAACTCCTTTACTAATTCTCAAAAAGGGTGAAAGACCATTTTACCCTCCATGGTCTCCAACGTCCACAACTTGACCAAACCCTAAAAGTCAGCGGAAGTTAACAGTCCATGTTGACTTAACTCGATGAGTGCACCTATGCGACTCGTTGAGTTCCTTTTGTTATCAAAAAATTAGGAAAAATCGACTCAACTCGCCGAGTTTAGTCCATCCATATCCCTCCTTAAATAGAATTCAGAATTCAGGAATAAAGCGTTAGAGTTTAGTCCAGGCAAAATATTTAGATATTCAAAAAATACATATACGAAATTTTGCCTATAAACATTTAAATTTTCAAAATTAAAATTTTAAAACGGTGGTTTCTTAAAATAATTTAATAAAATTCCCGGACAAGTTGTTTTCATTGCGCAGCATAACCTGTTTGTGAAACCCGCGAAGTGGAGCTGGGATCCCAATTTTGAATCCATATCAGTCCCCCACTGTTTTCGAAACCCTAATTCCACACACGTCTCTCTCGTTCCACTGTAAAATCCGTTTGTTGATGGCGACAACGATTACGAGGAACGAGAATGTCGTTAAGGTTGAAGCTGAAGGCGACGGAGGTGAAGAACAAAATGAGGTTTCTAAATCTGAAGCAGAGCCAAAGGAGGGTGTTCAGAAGAAGAGAGGTAGGAAAAGATGTCGGAAAGTGAACAACGGGAACACTGGTAATGCTATTAAATCTCAAAAGAAGAACAAGGTTCCTGATGAAAATGTAATATACCGTGTCCCTGGTTTCTCACATTTTATTTATCGAAGTCTGCTTGATTTCTCTTGCACTTATTTGATCCAACATTCTCTCTTTATTTTCCATCCATTGGCAGGGAAGCCTAATTAAGGCAGATCCAGTAATGTGCCATCAGTGTCACAGGAGCGACAAGGGACGAGTTGTTAGGTGCCAGAAGTGCATTACAAAGCGTTACTGTGTGCCTTGCATGAAAAGATGGTATAAGTGGTCAACAAATTTTCTTCCTATTTTGTTGAGCAACTGAATTGAATGTTTGCATTGCAAGGTTCAGTCTAGTTGACTTGCTAAATCATGTTAGTCCTTCACATTTGCCTGCATTGGCATCAGAGTGGCTAATTTTCTGCTGGTGCAACGAGTAGTCATCATTGACCTTTGTGATTAGCTTGGTTGAATCTGTAGTATGCTTCAATAACCATAACCTATTACCTTGATGCCCAATCTTAGAATATTGTATTTTGAGCTGATGGTAGAAGAATAGCTGTCAGTCCCTACTGGTCAGAAAGCATTAATTTTGATTCTTTGAAATAAAGGAGGCAAGTTTCATCTTTCTCCTTTTGTTTACTATGTTTTGTAGGTACCCTAACATGACTGAGGAGATGTTTGCGGAGTGTTGCCCAGTTTGCCAAGGCAACTGCAACTCTACACATTGCTTGCGCTATGTGCACCCTAATGTTGGTTCCTGCAGCTCATCTTTTGTTATGGAACTTATTGCTCTTCTTACTCTTAACCAGATAGGAAATTCAATACCGACTCTGTTGTTGGTTTTAGGTCAAAGAAAAAATTGTTCCCAAACCTGATGATGATCAGAAAGTTCAATATTCTATTTACATGTTGCATGTGCTTCTTCCGGTTTTGAAGCGTCTAAATGAGCAGCACATGAAAGAGATAGCGATAGAGTCTACAATACAAGGTATTTCTTTTACTGTTTATCTCAGAGTTCTTGCTCCATTTTAAATGTATAACTTCTAGTTCACATTGTAGCTAATCTGACTCAGTACTGCTATATATATGATTCTTGACTAATGATGATGACTGTTTCATTCTTATGAAAAAAGGAGTTAGATAACTTCATTGTTGGGAGTTGGGACTTCATGGAAATGCAAGGAAAACCGTTTTTTATTCTGCTTAAAATTTTAAAATGAACTCTCATATCCTTCATCATTAACTTAATTTCTATGTATGATCTCATAGTGGATGCAAAGGACTTGAATCTTTGACCCTGAAATCAATTTGAATGGATAAGTGGCAATCAGCCATACTTTATGTAAGCTTTCCTGAATTTAGTACTTGGGCAGGATCTTCTATATCCGAGGTACATTTGAAGGAGGTAAACTGCAGCTTGGATAAGCAAATGCACTGGTATGTTATTTCAATGGTTGTACAAGTCTTTGAGGATTTTGTTTCTTGGGAGATGCATTCCTGTTTTGATTGTTCCCTGATATATGCAGTGGCTGCTGTAAAACATCAATTTTTGACTTGCATAGAAGCTGCCCTTCTTGTCATTATAACATTTGCCTTCAATGTTGCTGGGAATTGCGAGATGGCAACCCTCAAGGAAACAAAGAAGAAGTTATCATTGAACCTAAAGATCCAGGGCCTGAGTACTTACATGGCATCCCTAAGGGATTCAGGAAAGCATTGAAAAAGACATGTTATGTTGAGAAGGCTGCTGAAGATCCTGCACCGAAGGAAAAGCAAACTCATGACTGGAGTTCTTTGGTTGATGGCAGAATTCTTTGCCCTCCAAAAAGCATGGGTGGTTGTGGTTGTGGGATTTTAGAGTTGATGCACATAAAGCCACTTGACAGCATTTCAAATCTGTTGGATAAAGCACACAAGCTGTTAAAGATGCACCAAGTGGAGGAAGATATGCATGAGATGCCTGAGCAGTGTTGCTATTGTTCAAGCTTTTTGAAAGAAAGCAATGGTGGTGATCAGCAGTTATGTAAAGCTGCTTCCCGTGAAAATTCCAGTGACAATTACTTGTATTGCCCACGTGCTATTGACATTCAACATGGAGATTTAAAGCACTTCCACTGGCATTGGTCAAAAGGGGAGCCTGTAATAGTCAGCAATGTTCTAGAAACTACTCTTGGGTTGAGCTGGGAACCCAAGGTCATGTGGCGTGCTTTTCGCCAGATTCCAAATACCAAACAAGACAAGCTCTTGGATGTGGTTGCTATTAATTGTTTAGATTGGTGTGAGGTTGGTTAAGTACTTTTCTGTTTTACATTATTTTTCTAGTGTTATGAGGTTTGGTGGATCTATACTGATCCTATGCACCATTGTGGGCTCATGTTTGATTATGAACTCCTTACTATTGTCCCCTTTTTACTTTCAACTTTTTGCTTGTATGTGCTTTCTTCTTTACTGACCCTATTCACCATTGTGGGATCATGGTTGATATGCTAAAAGTCATCTATGAAAGCATGGAAATACTACTGTATACAGCTTACTCCATTCCTATGGGATTTGGATTTAGTTCCTATTGTTGTTTGCATTTAAGTTAATACCACATTGAAATATATTACATGCATAATCAACTTTTCTCATGACATGCAGGTTGACATTAATGTTCATCAATTTTTTACTTGGTATTCAAAAGGTCGATATGACACTGAAGGGTGGCCTGAGATCCTAAAACTGAAAGACTGGCCTCCATCAAATTTATTTGAAGAATGGTTGCCACGTCATGGTTTTGAATTCATCACTTCTTTACCCTTTAAAGAATACACACATCCACGTGATGGATACCTTAATCTTGCAGTCAAGTTGCCTGAAGAATCTTGTAAGCCAGACATGGGTCCTAAAACTTATATAGCTTATGGTGTTTCTGAAGAATTGGGACGTGGAGACTCTGTAACTAAACTCCATTGTCACAAGTCTGATGTGGTATGCTTTTTCTATTTGGTTATGCTAAATTCTTCTGCTTGAAATTTCCTATTCTGACTTTAGGCACAAACCAGATCATTATTAGTGTTGGATTTCGTCTAGTGTCATTGGAGTTGAATTTTACTCTTTAGGCATCATCAAGAAAACTTTGTTTTTTTTTTCCCTTTTAGCTATAGAAGTTGCCATTTAAGTTTGTATGAGAAGGAGTTGGTTTGCTGATGGCTTCACTATCTTCAAAAGAAAAACAACAGAAGCTGTCATGAAAGCTCCTTTTCCTTTCATTTCACACTTGATTTTATTGTGAGTCTCATTCATTACGTGAGTATTTCATAGAATTGGTGGATGAAATCTAGTTTTTTCGACCTTTTTTTGATCTGTTGAAAGAACCAACAGTTATTTTCAGTTTTTCATCTTTTTCTATGTTATTAGAAGAATAAAAAGCAGTAATTACAATTCTGCCTGGACCCACAATGGGAATAGGAACCACTAATTGGAAAAATAAAGTGAATTGGACTTTATGAAGTAACTGTATATTTACTATCTGAGTTAATCATCAGTTTGTGATGCCTGTTTTTTTATTTACAATATAAATCATCTAGCTTTATCGTAAGAAGGCACAGATTCTTGATCTAAACATATTGGTACACAGTCAAAATAAAATCATTTTTGCTAATATTTAACTTGTCAGAATACACCTTTTCTTGTGCAGAATTATTTCTCTTTTCTAAGAGATATATTCTCTGTTTTGTACACCAATCTGTTTTGGTTTTTGTATCTTCTCATTTTCTGATGACATGCAGGTGAATGTGCTGACTCATACTGCAACTGTGCCCCTCAATTCTAAACATTGTAAAAGCATAAATGAATTAAAAAAGCTTCACATGATTCAGGATCAGAAGGAACTTTATGTTGATAACACGAAAGATGCTACTTCCGAGCAAGTTGTTGGGTTGAAGAAACAAGAAGGGCATAAAACTATTAGTAATCAATCAGACCAATATTTATTGAAGAAGGAAAGCTGTGAAGGAGTTGAGTTTGACATTGATAAAAAAGATAAGAGGAAGAGAAAGGATTCAATTCAAAGAGTTAAGGGACCAGATGGAAATAAACGAAAGAAAAAGAAGGGCAGGAAACAAGTGATATCTTCTGATAGTGAAGAACTTGATAACCTTGATGATATTTCAGGTAGTTGTGTGGATGGATTTGATTTGGGAGATGGAGGTGCTCTGTGGGACATATTTCGGAGGGAAGATACTCCTAAACTGCAGGAATATCTCAAAAAACACTTCAAAGAGTTCAGACATGCCTTTTGTCTTCCACTGCAGCAGGTATTAATCCTTACTTTCAGTTGAAATTAATGTATCTGTAGCATCACAATCCTACATAGTAATTTTCTAAATTGTCCCATTGTATTTTCTTGGTTCAGGTTACACACCCAATTCATGATCAAACATTTTACTTAACCATGGAGCATAAAAGGAAACTCAAGGAAGAGTTTGGTTAGTATGCATTTGCAAGGCGTGTTATGTATCACCTTTCACTGATATAAAATCTCTGAATGTTCTTAATTTTTTGTTTATGATCAGGAATTGAAGCATGGAGTTTTGTCCAAAAGCTTGGGGATGCTGTCTTTATACCTGCTGGATGTGCTCATCAAGTTAGAAATCTAAAGGTTAATAGCTTACCACTAGTTTTTATCCTCTTTCAAACTGCTTTAAATTGTTCCATTTGGAAATAATAGGGATCATCAGGGCTTGATGTTGTGGGGATGAATTGCAGTTGACTTACATCATATAGTGAGATCCATTTCCTGAATAAACTTGTCACCCCTGGCCCTTGGTTGTTGACACTTGACAATGCATGTTTTTTTTTCATCTTTGATTTCTCTTTGAGGGTTTCTAGTCATCTGATCATTGTTTTCTTGCACATGAAAATGCCTTGTAGTAAGCATTTATGTTATGACATAAATGATACTCCTTTTTCTTAATTAGCATCAATCTTTGGTAAGCTTATATCTAATTTTCTTAACTTTAGGACTAGATATTAATCATCCATGATTTCCTACATTTCCTTTCAAGCTGATGCATGGATATCTTCCATGTGTTTGTGTGCATCCTTTTGCAACTGACCTCACCTTGTAGCATTCAAGGGACATATCTTCCTTAGATTTTAATGTTCACACCCATTGCTTTTATTATTCTTTGGTAAATCAACCAATCCGCAGGTCTCATTTTTCTCTAATGTATTCATATCTGCTTCTATAACAAGTCTGTATTCTCTCTTTGCTAAAGCTTCAGACAATGAGATAAGATTTAGATTAGGAATAAGAGCTGTGTTTAAGGTGGAAAGAAAACTTTGATGGTTTGGTGAAAACTTCTCAAATGCCACAAACCGAGACAACGGTTACTAAGGCTTTTTGGTGGATCTCTAGTCCTTTTTCTTAGGGTTTAGACACATGACATAGACACTATCATTTTCGTTTTGTGTATAAATATGCTGTCTCTGAATTTATCTGTGTTATAATAAGTGAATAAATATGTTTTCTTTTTGTGTAGTCATGTATAAAAGTTGCACTGGACTTTGTATCTCCTGAAAACGTTGGTGAATGCATCCGTTTGACAGAAGATTTCCGCCTTCTTCCCCAAAATCATAGGGCAAAAGAAGATAAGTTAGAGGTAAACAATCTCTTCTTTAATTATATCTTGCAAATATTAGATCTATCATCAATCATAGGGGTATTATGTTTTGATTTAATAATTTTTAAGTTATGAAGAAATCCTGAGGGCATACTATATGCAATTATTATTATTTGTAGAGGGGTAATTTCATCCTGTTTATGCGAACTGTGGATTTGGGTTTATAATATAAACCCAAATTGGCCTGTTGTCGAATTGGTAAACTTTAGAAGTTAGCATAAAAGGTAACAATATGTCAAATGACAATATACAACATCCTAAATATTTGCAGTAAAAGATAGAGCAAATTATAGAAATGGTCCCTGTAATTTGGTCAGAATCACCGGTTTGGTCTGACCTTTGAAAAGTTGATAGGGAATGAGGATGACTGCAGGAAGGAGGAGAAGATGAGGTGGGATGGGTGGGAGGATGTGGGCTCTTTATTCTTTTTCTATTATTAAAAATCATAAAGAAGTAAGAGAAAAAGAAAAAAATTACTAGTAGGGGTAGCATAGTCATTTTAAATGGATCAGGGACATAAACTGAAAAAAAAGGTAAAGTGTTAAATCACAGGGATGCTACCTATAAACTTTTTAAAGTTTGGACCAAATGTGTGATTCTGACCAAACCATAGGGACCATTTATTAGATTGTTATTTTACTAATTTCATTTTACAGCTATATTTCGTATGCTAGTTACTTATGGAATGCGTACAGTGTACACCCTGCCCAAAATATCTAATGGTGGAGTCATTTAAGTTCATAATATTATCAGTTTCATTAATTTCAATTGATTTGTTATAAATTATTAAATCCTGCAATTGGTTGATGCTACTGCTAATTAATTAATTACAGGTGAAGAAAATGGCATTTTATGCAGTGAAGGCAGCTGTAAAGGACTTGGAAAAAATTGTTCACAAGTAAATTCAAACCATTTCTTAGACTATTTTTATTTAAAGAGAACAAATACATCAATTTTTGTTGTTTATAATTAGAGCTTAATATTACCATATTTTTCATATATTATCCCAACTTTTCATTTTTCATCTCTTTCCTTTCATATTTTCTAACATATTCAATTTCTTTTAGGAACTCGGATAATCTTGAAAACTACAAAGTTGAAGTTCCAGTGACTGAAAATCTCCAAACCTTGCAAAAGGATGTGGGATTACAAATAGATCCCCAAAATGAAGAAACTGAAAGTGGTGGCAATTGCAACATAAAAGGATCAAGGACTAGAGAAGATGCATGTGAAAAGAAAAAGAAAGGGAAAGGGAAAGGAAAAGGAAAAGGAAAAGGTAAGGAATCATCAGAGTCTTGTTCGTCTCTTGATGAATTTGTTGCACAGCTTGGTGCAATTAAGGTTACTAGAGACAATGAAGTTGAACTCATGAAAAAAAGACTTGACTTTGACCAAAAAAAGGAGCTCAAAAAGGAAGAATGGAACACTAAGAAGATGTATTACATGCATCTCAACACACTATTTGCTAAAAACCACTTGTTGCCGGAAGATGAACACATTAAGTGCCATCTCTTAGCCATGTTGTATGACATGTAATTGCACTTTATTATTGTACATGATTTACAAGAAAACAGAAACTTGCTTTTATCATTCCCACGCTTGTGTCTATTTACCATGGGAATCTTACATGTAAAAAAAAATGGTTAAATGGCCAAAATTTAACTATTAATATACAAGGCTAAACTCTTGAAATGACAATCTTTGTAATGCAATTTTCAATAGTGAAGGTGATGATGTTATTAACTTCTTTAGTTGTGTCACACTCAAGTCCATTGCATACCAAAGGCAATAAACAATGTGACTCAGTTTTTCTCTTGCGTAGAGAAAACTTTTCTGGACTTCCAATGTTGTCATTGTCCATAGAAGTTTTGGAAGTTGATTTTCCAGTCAAATTTGTTTACCAGTGCGCCAAATCATTGTTGTTTCAGCAGAAATTAACAAATATGTCAAACCAATGAGGGTCACGTTGTGGTTCATCATATAGTACTCTCTAATGAACTCATTATATGAGTCAGGAAGTGATTGAAGAACCCAGTCAACAACCAACTTCCTTGATACAACGACACCCGACATTCTCAACCTGTCAATATGTGACTTCATCTCTAAGATGTGTGCACACACAGACTTCCCATCTTCGTTTTTAATTGCCATTAGGGCTTGAGTTACCTTGTACTTTTCAAGTCTTTGAACATGTGGGTTAGGGAGAACAATTGGAGGAGGTGGAGGAAGTGAAGAATGATCTCGAGTTCCTCGATCGAATCATGGGATATCATCTTCATGTGGAAAGCTTTTTCCATGGGATTTAGGAAGACCATAGTTATAATCAGACATCGTCCTCAATAAAACACCCAAATAAGATATTAAGGTTAGGACCCAACACAATGTTCTACAATATGGAAGAGGGATATCGTAATCCTGCTGCAGAACATTTGAAGGTAGGTAAATGACGATTTACTAATTTTCACCATGAAAAATGAAAATTGAAAATTTGGTTTTAAATGAATTGGAACTCCTAGATCCTTTGAGATTCATTGAACTTTTCAATGACTTTAAACTCGATTTTACCCTTCAAGTTTGTGACTAGGATGCGGAGGATCACAAACAAGGTGTGGATAACCATGCAAATTAGCTTGATACTCTCGATGTTACAAATCACCCAATCAATGTGTTGGTTAACCACACACGCTCCACTAACGACCACCAATGTGCAATGTCCAATTTCATGGATTAGCACCAACTCCACAGTTTTCCTAAAGTAACTAAGATTTGGTAATTTATAAAAGTGTTTAGTTACTTCGTATTTCATTATACTTATAATGAAAGGTTGTGTCCTATCCTACCCGTTCAGCTAACGACCCTCCACTAGTCAAGAGTGCGGTGGGTAAGATTGGATACTCATTCAATCGCTATTTTATAGGTAATTTCCTTAAACACCCCTTAGAGACCAACTTCGTGAATGAGGCCTATTAACGGTAAGACTGACTTTTTACTCATACATATATAATATTAGACTTTTAATTTTATATTGTATAAGAGTGTATTTTACACTTTTAAAATACTAGGTGGTTAAATTTAATAAATTATACCTTTAATTTTTTTAAATGTAAACCATTGCATACGAATTTATTAACTCTCTTTTACTTACACACTTAATTAATTTAATAAAACCCTAAGGGTGTTATTTGAACTTTTCAAAATACTAGGGTTTTAGAATTTAATATTTCAAAAATTAAAACATTTTAATTAAATTTTAAATTCCAAAACTTGAGGGTAAATTTTGAAACTTTTCAAAATATCTTTTAGATCAAATTTGAAAATAATTAAATATCATATAATTAATAATTATCACATAATTTGACCTAATCTATTTCTGTTACAAGATAATTCAAATAAATTTACAAATAATCAACATTTATCTTATAAAACAAGTAATTATCTTAAATTGACAATTATCTATTAATTGGATTAGGATATCAATTACCATAATATAAAAATCTGATTTTAATTTGAAAAAAAAAAATAATTTAAGGTAATTATCCAAAGCAAATTAAGGAAAAAATCTTGAAATTGTGCTGTCAGACTGAATTCATGAGGTGAACACACTATGTTCACGACATGAGTTTGGTTTAATTCGAAACTCTGCTGTCAGACTGAATTCACAAGGTGAACACACTGTGTTCACGACGTGAATCAGTTCAGATTCGAAATTCGCTATTTTTCAGGTTTGAAAACTTAATTTTGCATCAAATACAATAGAAAAACACCTTAGACTCTGATACCACTGATGTGTTTTAAAGCAAATCGTCAATCTTATGGTGCAGATGCAAAACCCTAGGAACTTTGGATCTAGGTTTATCTAATTATACATGCAAATTATCCAAAGCTCATAAACCCTAGATCTAGCATACTATAATCGAAATCACATATGAAAATAAGGTTTATATCTTACCTTGATTGTTATGTAGCAATAACAATCATAAACCTTCTTGATCTTGACTTCTGAAAACTTAGTGCCTAAGTGTTGCACCTCTAATGGAGTCACAAACACCACTAGCAACAAGATGACTTAAAGAGAGGGAGGAGGAGGCACAAGAACATCCAAGACCTTCTAAGAGTGCTAAGCCACGTTTTTGGGAGCCTTAAGGGTCCTATATAGTTGAGGCTTCTACGGTTTTCAACTTGGAAACCCTAATCTAGTTGCTTAGTCCTTAAGCAGCCCAAAGATCCTTCTAGAAGGCCCCTTGGACGATTTCTATATGGACACCCATATATAATTCGTCCATTGCTTCCTTATGGATCCTAAGCCCAACTTTGTAACTATCTTATAATTACAGTATCAGTCCCCTTTATTTAATTAATCTCTTTTGACCATAAAACTAATTCTTGATCAATATTAATTAAACAATATGATTTCTCCTTTGATATATTATTCTTATAATATATTAATAAATCATAATTAATCTACTTTCTCCTTAATTCATCCTATCAATTGCTATGGTGAAGGCAACCCAAAAGGACCATGCTCATAATCGGGTCAAGTACATACCAAAATAGTTATGGGCTTAGACATCTAATCCAACTTGAGCAGCATGAGGAGCACTTGAGAGAGGTGTTGGATAATATGAGGAGGCGGAGCTTGTATGCAAAGTTCTCCAAGTGTGAGTTCTGATTGCGCAAGGTGCAGTTTCTGGGGCACCTTGTCAACCAGAACGGGATTTCGGTCGACCCGGTCAAAGTGGAGGCCGTGATGAGGTGGGAAGTTTCGAGGTATCCATCTGAGATTCAGAGGTTCCTGGGAGTGACAATTTACTATCGGAGATTCATTAAGGACTTCTCCAAGATAGTCGTGCCTTTGACCCAGTTGACAAGGAAAGTCATGGTCTTTCACCAGGGGCCTGAGTAGCAGGCCGCATTTGAGAGACTGAGACAGAGATTGTGCGAAGCGCCAATCTTTGCACTGCCAGAGGGCATGGAGGATTTTGTAGTGTATTGTGATTCATCCATCTCGGGTTTGGGCGTGCTATTCATGCAGAGGGGGCATGTTATCACCTAAGCTTCGAGGCAGCTGAAGCCTCATGAGGCGAACTATTCGACCCATGATTTGGAGTTGGGGGTAGTTATTTTCGCCCTAAAGATTTGGCGCCATTACCTCTATGGGGTCCATTGTACCATTTACACGGACCATAAGAGTTTGAGGTGCCTCATAGATCAGCCAAATCTGAATATAAGACAACGTCGATGGCTAGATGTGGTGAATGATTACGATTGTGAGATCCTCTACCACCCGGAGAAGGCCAATGTCGTGGCCGATGCGCTTAGCCGCAAGGCAGTGCCGATTAGAGATATTTACTTGAGGATGACCGTGGTGACTCCGCTGTTGGAGTGGATTTCGGAGTCCCACGGCAAGACCCAACCGTTGGATATCCCGATGTGGAAATGGGAAGATATCACTATGATTTCATCACGAAGCTTCCCAGGACCGCGCGGGGAGTGGATTTGATTTGGGTCATCGGTTGACTAAGAGCACCCATTTCATTCCGATTCAGGAGAGCATTTCAGCTGAAAAGTTGGCAGACATATACATCAGAGAGATAGTGGCTCGACACGGGGTGCCAGTCTCGGTGGTTTCTAACAGAGATGTTCGGTTCACTTCCAGATTCTAGAAGAAGTTTTACAACGAGCTGAGTACTCGTCTGCACTTTAGCACCGCTTTCACCCACAGACGGATGGTCATAGCCAGCGGACCATCCAGACTATGGAGGATATACTACGGGCATGTGTTTTAGACTTCGAAGGTAGTTGGGATACTTACCTTCCTTTGGTAGAGTTTTCCTACAATAACAGCTATCACGCAAGTATTGACTGTCCTCCCTTCAAGATGTTGTACGGGAGGAAGTGCAAGACCCCGATATGTTGGGGTGAGATTGGACAGAGGGTCATGGGGAGTAATGAAGTGGTACTCAAGACTACCAAAAGGATCCAGTAGGTTTGGAGAAGGCTTCAGACTGATCAGATTCAGCAGAAAAGTTATGCTGACAAGCATCGTTTGGACCTGGAGTTCCAGGTTGGGAATATGGTGCTCCTTAATGTGTCGCGTTGGAAAGGTGTCATTCGGTTCAGGAAGCGGGGCAAGTTGGGCACAAGGTACATTGGACCTTTCAGGGTTGTAGCCCGGGTGGGCAAGGTGGCATATAGGTTGGACCTTCCAGCCGAACTCAGTCAGATTCACAGTACTTTTCATGTCTCCCAGCTGCGGAAGTGTCTGGTAGACGATTCGGCAGTGGTGCCTTTAGAGGATATTCAAGTGGATGACAGCCTGAACTACATCAAGTGACCAGTAGCTATCCATGACATGAAGTCAATGGATCTGAGGAACAAGAGGGTGGAGCTGGTGAAGGTGCAATGGTAGCACCGCAAGGGATCAGAATGGACTTAGGAGCCGGAGGACGAGATGAGGGAGCACTAGCCCGAGCTTTTTCCGGATTCAACAGCAAACTTCGAGGACGAAGTGTAAAATAAGTGGGGGAGATTTGTAACACCCAGTTCTTGGTACATATTTAAATTGGAGTAATTTCATGTTTTGCTCTGGGACTCAGCGAGTTGGAGGCCCAACTTGTCGAGTAGATTGGATTTCTGGTCGCGGGGGTTAAGTGACCTACTTGACGAATCGGGAGCCCGACTCGACGAGTAGGGATGTTTGGATGAAACCCTACTATTTAGGGTTTGCACCCT